AACACTCTCTGCTTCATTCGGAAAAATGCTGCATTCACAGAGCTTAGGCGGTGTTGTATTTCAGTGTCAATGTTGACATCTGTAGACAGTCCATGTCTCGCAGGCATAGAGCAGGGTTGGGAGGGCAATAGCTTTTAAACAAGCACCTTGGTCTCCCTACAGATGTCCCGGTCCTCAAACACTCTCTGTTTCATTTGGAAGAATGCTGCATTCACAGAGCTCAGGCGGTGTTGTATTTCAGTGTCAATGTTGACATCTGTAGACAGTCCCTGTCTCGCAGGCATAGAGCAGGGTTGGGAGGGCAATAGCTTTGTAAACAAGCACCTTGGTCTCCCTACGGATGTCCCGGTCCTCAAACACTCTCTGCTTCATTCGGAAAAATGCTGCACTCGCAGAGCTCAGGCAGTGTTGTATTTCAGTGCCATTGTTGACATCTGTAGACAGTCCATGTCTTGCAGGCGTAGAGCAGGGTTGGGAGGACAATAGCTTTATAAACAAGCACCTTGGTCTCCCTACGGATGTCCCGGTCCTCAAACACTCTCTGCTTCATTCGGAAAAATGCTGCATTCACAGAGCTTAGGCGGTGTTGTATTTCAGTGTCAATGTTGACATCTGTAGACAGTCCATGTCTCGCAGGCATAGAGCAGGGTTGGGAGGGCAATAGCTTTGTAAACAAGCACCTTGGTCTCCCTACGGATGTCCCAGTCCTCAAACACTCTCTGCTTCATTTGGAAGAATGCTGCACTCGCAGAGCTCAGGCGGTGTTGTATTTCGTGTCAAACTACAAGAAAGGAGATTCCATCTGAACATGAGGAAGAACTTCCTGACTGTGAGAGCCGTTCAGCAGTGGAACTCTCTGCCCTGGAGTGTGGTGGAGGCTCCTTCTTTGGAAGGTTTTAAACAGAGGCTTGATGGCCATCTGTCAGGGGTGCTTTAAATGCAACTTTCCTGCTTGTTGGAGGACCGGGACATCCGTAGGGAGACCAAGGTGCTTGTTTATAAAGCTATTGTCCTCCCAACCCTGCTATACGCCTGCGAGAGTGGACTGTCTACAGACATCAACATTGACACTGAAATACAACACTGCCTGAGCTCTGCGAGTGCAGCATTTTTCCGAATGAAGCAGAGAGTGTTTGAGGACCGGGACATCCGTAGGGATACCAAGGTGCTTGTTTATAAAGCTATTGTCCTCCCAACCCTGCTATATGCCTCTGAAACGTGGACTGTCTACAGACGTCACATGCAACTCCTGGAACGATTCCATCAGGAAACTGAATGTTGGAGGACAGGAAAAGAGATTTAAAGATGGGCTCAAAGCCAACCTTAAAAACTCTGGCATAGACACTGAGAACTGGGAAGCCCTGGCCCTTGAGCGCTCCAGCTGGAGGTCAGCTGTGACCAGCAGTGCTGTACAATTTGAAGAGGCACGAATAGAGGGTGAAAGAGAGAAACGTGCCAAGAGGATGGTGCGTCAAGCCAACCCCGACCGGACCTCCTTCCACCTGGAAACTGATGCCCTCACTGTGGGAGAAGATGCAGGTCAAGAAGAGGGCTCCACAGCCACCTACGGACCCACCACCAAGACCCTACACTTGGAAGACCATCATCCTTAGACAACGAGGGATTGCCTAAGTACGGTAAGTCATCTTGCCCCCATTCTGCCTGCTTTCGGCAGCTGCTCTGCCCCAAATGCCTGGGGGCTCCCTTGCCTGATTGCACCCCATAATAGGGAGGGGGCCCCAGGTGTCTTTGTGCCCCACAGAGTTCCCCTTCTGTGGGTTTGAACTTCAAAAAGGCCCACCTTCTCTCCCCCACCTTTTCCTTATTTTTTTTTACAGGTCTTTCCTCTCTTTTTACTGCAGCAAGTAATGAACCCGGACTTCAAACGGCGAGATCAAGCCTTGCGCCTTCTGGATGCCGAGACCAGGTTCGCCTTCATTATTTCTACCTTTTGCAAGGGGGGGAAAAAGGCCCTTTTACAAGCTGTTTGTTTTGTCTGATCTGCCGCAGCAAGCAAGGCCCGGCTAGGGAGGAACCCATCTGGGCCCGGCGGGGGGGGGGGGGCTCCGCTCTCCTTTTAGGGGTCCTTTTAGGGGAGCCTTGCCCAAATGCAAGCACGCAACCCTGCTTGGGAGGGACGGAAAGGCCGTCTGGAGACCCTCACCACCTGGCCAACGCAAAGCTAAGCACGGTGCCAAATTCAACAGGAAGAACAACAACTCAATGTGCAACGTGCAATGGGCATGGGCGAGATGCATGTAGTTTGAATGCACCAGCATTGACCTTGCTATGACTCTGGCAACTACACATATGGCCCTTTCCACACAGCTGAAGAGAACCCCACATTATCCACTTTGAACTTGGATATATGGCAGTGTGGACTCAGATAACCCAGTTCAAAGCAGATATGGTGGGATTTTTCGCCTTGATACTCTGGGTTATATGGCTGCGTAAAGGGGTCCTATGATACAAAATTGGGAAATTTTTCTGCTCCTGGTTTGAAAATGTTCTCTTTTACTTGGTATCTCTACAGATGCTCCGGTCCTCAAACACTCTCTGCTTCATTCAGAAAAATGCTGCACTCGCAGAGCTCAGGCGGTGCTGTATTTCAGTCTTAATGTTGATGTCTGTAGACAGTCCACGTTTCACAGGCATATAACAGGGTTGGGAGGACAATAGCTTTATAAACAAGGACCTTGGTCTCCCTACGGATGTCCTGGTCCTCAAACACTCTCTGCTGCATTCGGGAAAATGCTGCACTCGCAGAGCTCGGGCGGTGCTGTATTTCAGTCTTAATGTTGATGTCTGTAGACAGTCCACGTTTCGCAGGCGTAGACAGGGTTGGGAGGACAATAGCTTTATAAACAAGCACCTTGGTCTCCCTATGGATGTCCCGGTCCTCAAACACTCTCTGCTTCATTCAGAAAAATGCTGCACTCGCAGAGCTCAGGCGGTGCTGTATTTCAGTCTCAATGTTGATGTCTGTAGACAGTCCACGTTTCACAGGCATATAACAGGGTTGGGAGGACAATAGCTTTATAAACAAGGACCTTGATCTCCCTACGGATGTCCTGGTCCTCAAACACTCTCTGCTGCATTCGGGAAAATGCTGCACTCGCAGAGCTCGGGCGGTGCTGTATTTCAGTCTTAATGTTGATGTCTGTAGACAGTCCACGTTTCGCAGGCGTAGAGCAGGGTTGGGAGGACAATAGCTTTATAGACAAGCCCCTTGGTCTCCCTACGGATGTCCCGGTCCTCAAACACTCTCTGCTTCATTCGGGAAAATGCTGCACTCGCAGAGCTCAGGCGGTGTTGTATTTTGGTGTCGATGTTGACTTTTGTGGAGAGGTGGCTGCCAAGAGAGCGGAAATGGTCCACATTTTCTAATGTTACACCATTAAGGTGTATTTCTGGCATTGGAGAGGGATTGGCCGGTGACTGCTGGAAGAGCACTTTTTGAACGTGTCACCCTGAGTCGCCTGAGGGCTGAGAAGAGCAGTATGCAAATATAGTAAAAAAATAATAATGCTTCTAGAACATGGCCCTATGGCCAGAAAAACCTACAACAACCCAGGTCGTACTACTTTCACATGCAAGTCCTGGAACGATTCCATCAGTGCTGCCTCCGGAAAATCCTGCAAATCTCTTGGGAAGACAGGCGGACAAACGTCAGGGTGCGGGAAGAAGCAAAGACCACCAGCATTGAAGCAATGGTCCTCCGCCATCAACTCCGCTGGACCAGCCATGTTGTCCGAATGCCCGACCACTGTCTCCCAAAGCAGTTGCTCTACTCTGAACTCAAGAACAGAAAACAGGGAAGACAGGCAGGGAAATGTCAGCGTGCTGGAAGAAGCAAAGACCAGCAGCACTGAAGCGATGGTCCTCCGCCATCAACTCCGCTGGGCCGGCCACGTTGTCCGAATGCCCAACCACCGTCTCCCAAAGCAGTTGCTCTACTCTGAACTCAAGATCAGAAAACAGGGAAGACAGGCAGGGAAATGTCAGCGTGCTGGAAGAAGCAAAGACCAGCAGCACTGAAGCGATGGTCCTCCACCATCAACTCCGCTGGACCGGCCGCGTTGTCCGAATGCCCGACCACCGTCTCCCAAAGCAGTTGCTCTACTCTGAACTCAAGATCAGAAAACAGGGAAGACAGGCAGGGAAATGTCAGCGTGCTGGAAGAAGCAAAGACCAGCAGCACTGAAGCGATGGTCCTCCACCATCAACTCCGCTGGACCGGCCACGTTGTCCGAATGCCCAACCACCGTCTCCCAAAGCAGTTGCTCTACTCTGAACTCAAGATCAGAAAACAGGGAAGACAGGCAGGGAAATGTCAGCGTGCTGGAAGAAGCAAAGACCACCAGCATTGAAGCGATGGTCCTCCACCATCAACTCCGCTGGACCGGCCACGTTGTCCGGATGCCTGACCACCGTCTCCCAAAGCAGTTGCTCTGCTCCGAACTCAAGAATGGAAAATGGAATGAGATTGAAAGATGGGTTCAAAGCCAACCTTAAAAACTCTGGCATAGACACTGAGAACTGGGAAGCCCTGGCCTGTGAGTGCTCCACCTGGAGGTCAGCTGTGACCAGTAATGCTGCAGAATTTGAAGAGGCACGAACGGAGGGTGAAAGAGAGAAACGTGCCAAGAGGAAGGCACATCAAGCCAACCCCGACCGGGACCGCCTTCCGTCTGGTAACCGATGCCCTCACTGTGGGAGAAGATGCAGGTCAAGAAGAGGGCTCCACAGCCACCTACAAACCCACCCTCAGGACATTGAACTTGGAGGACCATCATCCTCGGACTACGAGGGATCGCCTGAGTAAGTAAGTAAAATACTACTTTCAAAGTAAGTATCACAACTGAACAGGAAGGAACACTTTCAAACCAAGAACAGAACCCTTTTTTCAGATTTTGTGACATAGTGTTGTTAAATGTTGGCCTTGACGCACAACGCGAAGGAGATGGACCAAAGCAAAGCCAATGCAAGGGCAGGCTCACCTTCTTGGCCACGTAGCAGAGCTGCTCGGCCGGCAGGTAGTCGAAGGGGAAGACGAACCTCCAGTTGAAGTTCCCTTCGCCCCCCATCGACCTGTAATGCACGTCCGTCTTCTGCCTGTTCTCCTCGTAGCCCACCATCCACCTGCAAAGGGGAAGAGACCGTGAAGATGGAAAGGAAGGGAAGGCCTGGAAAAAATCATAACAATGCATAACTTTGGCTAGATCGGGAGAGTTTTGCTATATATTGTGTGTGTAGAGAGAGAGTGCGTATGTATAGTAAGCCCGGGCCAACTTGGGTTCTCCCTCCAGTTGTTTTGGACTCCAACTCCCACCATTCCTAACAACCTCAGGCCCCTTCCTCTTTCCCCTCAGCCAACAACACAATAATTATAGGGTTATTGTAGGTTTTTTCGGGCTATATGGCCATGTTCTAGAGGCATTCTCTCCTGACGTTTCGCCTGCATCTATGGCAAGCATCCTCAGAGGTAGTCTGAGGATGCTTGTCTGTTGGAGGCATTCTCTCCTGACGTTTCGGGGGAGGGGGAGGGGATGGCGAAGGCCAAGGCCAAGGCGACGGCGACGGCGACGGCGACGGCGACGGCGACGGAGACGGAGACGGAGAAGGAGAAGGAGAAGGAGAAGGAGAAGGAGAAGGAGAAGGAGAAGGAGAAGGAGACGGAGACGGAGACGGAGACGGAGACGGAGAAGGAGAAGGAGACGGAGACGGAGACGGAGACGGAGAAGGAGAAGGAGAAGGAGACGGAGACGGAGAAGGAGAAGGAGAAGGAGAAGGAGAAGGAGAAGGAGAAGGAGAAAGAGAAGGAGGGAAGGAGGAAGGAGGAGGAGGAGGAGAGGAGGAGAGGAGAGGAGGAGGAGGAGAAGGAGAAAGAGAAGGAGAAGGAGAAGAGAAGGAGACGGAGAGGGAGACGGAGAAGGAGAAGGAGACGGAGACGGAGACGGAGACGGAGAAGGAGAAGGAGAAGGAGACGGAGACGGAGAAGGAGAAGGAGAAGGAGAAGGAGAAGGAGAAGGAGAAGGAGAAGGAGAAAGAGAAGGAGGAGGAGGAGGAGGAGGAGGAGGAGGAGGAGGAGGAGGAGGAGGAGGAGGAGAAGGAGAAGGAGAAGGAGAAGGAGAAGGAGAAGGAGAAAGAGAAAGAGAAAGAGAAAGAGAAGGAGAAGGAGAAGGAGAAGGAGAAGGAGAAGGAGTCAATGACCTTATGCTGTGCAGGAAAAAGCACAATCAAAGCACCCCCAACAGATGGCCACCCAGCCTTTGTAATAATAATAATAATAATAATAATAATAGAGTAGAAACCCCAGAGACCATCCAGTCCAACCCCCTTCTGCCATACAGAGCACCCCCAACAGATGGCCATCCAACCTTTGTAATACTAATAATAATAGTAATAGGAGTAACCCCAGGAGCCATCCAGTCAACAACCTTAGGCTATGCCAGAAAAGCACAATCAAAGCACCCCCAACAGATGGCCACCCAGCCTTTGTAATACTTATACTAATAATAATAGCAACAGGAGCAACCTCAGGGGCCATCTAGTCAACACCCTTATGCTATGCAGGTAAAGCACAATCAAAGCATTCCCAAAAGATGGCCATCTAGCCTTTGTAATAATATGCTCTACTAGCCCTAAAGGAGCATCAGCAGAGAGGTCTCCTACCCTTTGACGTAGATGTCACTCATCTTCTCCCCGGTGATGCTGAGGTCGTCCAGGATGACGTCTTTGGCGTTCCAGATGATGCAACGCAAGTAGAACCTGGAACCGAAGCCCATAATGGACAACAAACACCAAAGGGTTAGGAAAAGGGGAGTGAGCTCGCCAGAAGCAAAAAGCCATCAGGCAGAGAGCAAAAGGCTCAGAGATTAAGGGTTTTTAATAATAGCTGGTGAATGTTTTTATATTTAATTTTGTTTTAATTTTTGATATTTGCATATTTTAAAATTTGTGCTAATTATATTATTTTAAGCTGCTTTGAGCCCCCTTCAAGAGAGATAAAGCAGGGAATAAATAAGAAGGAGGAGAAGGAGAAGGAGAAGAAGTCTTGTTTTTGTGTGCATGTGCACAGAAAGGAAGGAAAGCAAGGAAAAGGAAAGCAAAGGGAAAGGGAAAGAAAGGGAAGGAAAGGAAAAGAAAAGAAAGGAAAGGAAAGGAAAGGAAAAGAAAAGAAAGGAAAGGAAAGGAAAGGAAAGGAAAGGAAAAGAAAAGAAAAGAAAAGAAAGGAAAGGAAAGGAAAGGAAAAGAAAGCAAAGGAAAGGAAAGGAAAGGAAAAGAAAGGAAAGGAAAACAAAGGAAAGCAAATGAAAAGAAAGGAAAGCAAAGGAAAGGAAAGGAAAGGAAAGGAAAGGAAAGGAAAGCAAAGCAAAGGAAAGGAAAGGAAAGGAAAAGAAAGGATAGCAAAGGAAACAAAGGAAAAGAAAGGACGGAAGGAAAAAAGAAAGGAAGGAAAAAAGAAAGGAAGGAAAGGGAAGAAAAGGAGGGAAAAGAAGAAAAAAGAAAGGATGGGAAAGGAAAGGAAAAGAAAAGAAAAGAAAGCAAGGAAAGGAAAGGAAAGGAAAGGAAGGAAAAAGGAAGGAAAAAAGAAAGGAAGGAAAGGAAAGGAAGGAAAGGAAAGGAAGAAAAAATTAAGGATGGAAAAGGAAAGGAAGAAAGGAAGGAAGGAAGGAAGGAAGGGAAGGAGGGAGGGAGGGAGGGAGGGAGGGAGGGAAGGAAGGAAGGAAGGAAGGAAGGAAGGAAGGAAGGAAGGAAGGAAGGAAGGAAGGAAGGAAGGAAGGAAGGAAGGAAAGGAAAGGAAAGGAAGGAGAGTCATAGCATCCCTCACCTTTTAGCTTTCCTTGGGGTCACATTGAAGGGAGGTCCCGGTGCCCCCAGAGATTTCGGAAAGAGGTCCACCCACATCTGGACCTTGCCCTGCAAAGGAAGAAGTCGGAAGATAGGGAGTGGGTCGAAAATGCATTGGCGGGGGTCCTCACCTCTTTCCCATCTCCTTCCCAAAAGAAGATTCAAAAACTGAGCAAAAGGGCATAGTATTCCTTGTGGAAGGTGGCCCAAAGCACATTTCGGAAAGTGGGCAAATCTGGCTGCAGAGCAGTTGAAAGCCAAGGGACTCTGGGGGTTGGTGCTCATCTCCATTTCAAAGAGCCAGCGTTGTCCATAGACACCTCCAAGGTGATGTGACTGGCATGACTGCATGGAGTGCCCTTACCTTCCTGCCAGAGCAGTACCTATTGATCTACTCACATTAGCATGTTTCTGAAGTGCTATGTTGACAGAAGCTAGAGCTAACAGCGGGAGCTCACCCCATTCCCCGGATTCGAACTGCCAACCTTTTGGTCAGCAAGTTCAGCAGCTCAGCAGTTTAACCCACAGTGCCACTAGGGGCCATATATATATATATATATATATATATATATATATATATATATATATGGTTTATTGCTTATTTTACATTCACGCTACACACCTACACATTGCAGCTGACACGCCGTTTGCAAGGTTCTGATCTATTTTAGGGTTTGGTTGGCAGCCATTTACACAAGGAGTAACACACACACACACACACACACACACACACACACACATATATATATATATATATATTGTTGTGTCAGGAGAGACTTGAGAAACTGCAAGTCGCTTCTGGTGTGAGAGAATTGGCCGTCTGCAAGGACGTTGCCCAGGGGACGCCTGGATGATTTGATGTTTTTATCATCCTTGGGGGAGGCTTCTCTCATGTACCCGCATGAGGAGCTGGAGCTGATAGAGGGAGCTCATCCGCCTCTCCCCGGGATTCGAACCTACAACCTGTCGGTCTTCAGTCCTGCCGGCACAGGGGGGGTTTAACCCACTGTACCACCGGGGGCTTCAACATATATATGATTTACTGCTTATTTCACATTTGTGTGACGCACCTACACACTGCAGCTGACACACCAATGTGTTGCAACACACTGTTTGGAAGGTTCAAATATACTTTCTGCTTAAGTTGGCAGCTGTTTACATGAGCCATAAAGCTTAACGTGAGTCCCATGGGTCTCCTCTGACTGGGCCTGACCTTTTGGCCTCACCTGTTCGATGTCCGGCTGCAAAGGGCTGAAGAGCCGCCTGGTCTCCACGTGCTCCGGCACCAGGCCTTCCTTGTGCAAGGCGTGCAAGGCCAGCCTCTCTTCCACGGCTCCCAGGTGCGGGTTGGGGGGCTTCCCATCCTCTGAGCCAAGAACGGAAAGGAAGGCAACAGGGCTTGTGAACTTAAAGGATTATGAAACAATAATACTTTATTGTATACTACAATACTCTCTATCCCACCTGCTTCACAGGTGCGGCTGGTGGGGACGAGAGACAGGGCCTTTTCTGTGGTGGCCCCCCGGCTGTGGAACGCCCTTCCTATGGAGGTAAGATCAGCCCCCTCGCTGATGGTGTTCCGAAGAAGATTAAAAACTTGGATGTTTGAACGGGCATTCGGTTAAACAGTGCAATGAATGTGATGATTACAGGAATGGAAATTTGGACGACGGATTGGATCACGACTCTAGTGATGAGATGCATTGTGTTGTCTATTGTTGTGTCAATATTGTATATTATGCTTTTATGGTTTTAAATTGTATATCGTTGATTGATTCTTATCCTTGTTGTAAACCGCGTTGAGTCGCCTGTTGGGCTGAGAAACTGCGGTATACAAGGAAAGTAAATAAGTAAATAAAAATAAATAAATAAATACTCAACAGCAGGTCAGTCAGAGAAAAGAAAGCAGCACCGACTACATGCAAAGACATAAATGGGCACGTTTTAATACTACAGAGGATATTTCTCAAGATTTTTGGCCTCAGTTTTTCCAGTAATTTTTCTAAATCCTTGGAACGTGCTTTTATTTTGTTCCAGACTGCATTGCAAATAATAATAATAATAATTCAGTTCTTGTGGGTTTTTTCGGGCTATATGGCCATGTTCTAGAGGCATTTCTCCTGACGTTTCGCCTGCATCTATGGCAAGCTTCCTCAGAGGTCTGCTGGAGCTGGAAAAAGGGGTTTATATATCTGTGGAATGACCAGGGTGAGACAAAAGGCTTTTGTAAGTTGGGCTAGTGTTCATTCGTTCAGTCGTCTCCGACTCTTCGTGACCTCATGGACCAGCCTACGCCAGAGCTCCCTGTCGGCCGTTACCACCCCAGCTCCCTCAAGGTCAGTCCAGTCACTTCAAGGATGCCATCCATCCATCTTGCCCTTGGTCGGCCCCTCTTCCTTTTGCCTTCCACTTTCCCCAGCATAATTGTCTTCTCTAGGCTTTGCTGTCTCCTCATGATGTGGCCAAAGTACTTCAACTTTGTCTCTAGTATCCTTCCCTCCAATGAGCAGTCGGGCTTTATTTCCTGGAGGATGGATTGGTTGGATCTTCTCGCAGTCCAAGGCACTCTCAGCACTTTCCTCCAACACCACAGCTCAAAAGCATCGATCTTCCTTCGCTCAGCCTTCCCTAAGGTCCAGCTCTCACATCCGTAGGTGACTACAGGGAAGACCATGGCTTTGACTAGGCAATGGATCTTTGTTGCCAGTGTGATGTCTCTACTCTTCACTAGTTGGGCTAGGTGTGAGTCTTTTCAACTGACCACCTTGATTAGCATACAATGGGCTGACAGTGCCTGGAGCAAACTCTTCTCCAGGCCACCTCAACTGGGCTCTACAGGCCAATGGAGACTCCACCTCAGACATCAGAAGAGCTGCAAGACCAAGAACAAGCCACGAGAGTCAAGATGAAGATCCACCCAGAGGAAAAGTGTTCCTGCCATACATCAAGGGAACCACTGATCGCAGAGGGAAGCTGATGAGGAAACACAACATACAAACAATCTACAAACCCACCAAGAAAATCCAACAAATGCTACGTTCAGCAAAGGACAAGAGGGATCCTCTCACCTCTGCAGGAGTCTACCGTATACCATGCAGCTGTGGACAAGTCTACAGAGGGACCACCAAACGCAGCAGCATTGCCCAGACACGCATCAAGGAACATGAAAGGCACTGCAGACTACTTCAACCAGAGAAGTCAGCCATAGCAGAGCACCTGATGAACCAGCCTGGACACAGCATATGATTTGAGAACACAGAAATGCTGGACCACTCTCACAACCACCATGTCAGACTACACAGAGAAGCCATTGAAATCCACAAGCATGTGGACAATTTCAACAGAAAGGAAGAAACCATGAAAATGAACAAATCTGGCTACCAGTATTAAAAAAAACTCTAAAATTAAAACAGCAGAGAGGAAAACAGGCAGGGACATCTAATCACCTTTCAAGAAGAGTTTGCTCCAGGCACAGTCAGCCCATTGTATGCTAATCAAGGTGGTCAGCTGAAAGATTCACACCTAGCCCAACTTACAAAAGCCCTTTGTCTCACCCTGGTCATTCCACAGATATATAAACCCCTTTTTTTCCCAGCTCCAGCAGACCTCACCTCTGAGGATGCTTGCCATAGATGCAGGCGAAACGTCAGGAGATGCCTCTAGACCATTTTCTCCTGACGTTCGCCTGCATCTGTGGCAAGCATCCTCAGAGGTACCTCGGAGGATGCCGGCCATAGATGCAGGCGAAACGTCAGGAGAAATGCCTCAAGAACATGGCCTATAGCCCGAAAAAACCCACAAGAACTAGTGATTCCGCATAAACAATGCAATACAATAAAATAATAATAATAATAATAATAATAATAATAATAATAATAATGTTTCCATGACTCTGTGACGTGAACAGGTAGGCTGCTCCCTCTCTTCCCAAAAATTATATGATAGCAAGAGATGATGCTGCCCACTGAGTTAATACTATTAAATAGAAACAGAGTTGGCTATTTTTAAAAAATAAGCTTGGAAAAATATTTTTCTGGGTGGATTCCCATTCCATTCGGTTACCAGCAGAATGAGTATAGTCCACCAGGAAGGTTTCCTGGCTTAGCTAATAGACATCTGGACACTGTGCCCTCTAGATTAGGATCGAAATCTGGATATTGAGTCCTATATATTAGGATCAATATCTGGATATTGAGTTTTATTTGTCGTGTCAGAGCAACCAGTCCATTATATATTACATTTCTAACAGAACAAAGCAAACAGACAGAAAAATACACATCTTGTGAGTTTGGTAGTTGGTTAAATGTCCTTTGACCAGTATCTGGCCACTTGGAGTGCTTCTGGTGTTGCTGCGCAAGAAGGTCCTCCATGGTGCATGTGGCAGGGCTCAGGGTGCATTGCAGCAGGTGGTCTGTGGTTTGCTCTTCTCCACACTCGCATGTCGTGGATTCCACTTTGTGGCCCCATTTCTGAAGGTTGGCTCTGCATCTCGTGGTGCCAGAGCGCAGTCTGTTCAGCGCCTTCCAAGTCGCCCAGTCCTCTGTGTGCCCAGGGGGGAGTCTCTCATCTGGTATCAGCCATGGGCTGAGGTGCTGGGTTTGAGGCTGCCACTTTTGGACTCTCGCTTGCTGAGGTGTTCCAGCGAGTGTCTCTGTAGATCTTAGAAAACTATTTCTAGATTTAAGTCGTTGACGTGCTGGCTGATACCCAAACAGGGGATGAGCTGGAGATGTCTCTGCCTTGGTCCTTTCACTATTGGCTGCTTCTTCCTGGCGGATGTCAGGTGGTGCAATACCGGCTAAGCAGTGTAATTTCTCCAGTGGTGTAGGGCGCAGACACCCCGTGATAATGCGGCATGTCTCATTAAGAGCCACATCCACTGTTTTAGCGTGGTGAGATGTGTTCCACACTGGGCATGCGTACTCAGCAGCAGAGTAGCATAGCGCAAGGGCAGATGTCTTCCCTGTGTCTGGTTGTGATCCCCAGGTTGTGCCAGTCAGCTTTCGTATGATATTGTTTCTAGCACCCACTTTTTGCTTGATGTTCAGGCAGTGCTTCTTGTAGGTCAGAGCACGGTCCAGAGTGACTCCCAGGTATTTGGGTGCGCTGCAATGCTCCAGTGGGATTCCTTCCCAGGTGATCTTCAGAGCTCGGGATGCTTCTCTGTTCTTGAGATGAAAGGCACATGTCTGTGTTTTAGATGGATTAGGGATCAGCTGGTTTTCCCTGTAATAGGCAGTAAGAGCACCTAGAGCTTGAGTTGTATATATTGGGATAGAAACATGGATATCGAATACTATATATTAAGATCAAAATCTGGATACTGAGTCCTATATATTGGAATAGAAGTCTGGATACTGAGTCCTATATATTGAAATACAAGTTTGGATATTGAATCCTCTATAATGGGATAGAAGTATACTACGTATATAACTTGTATACCTAAGTGCAAAAAACAACCGTTAGCAAATGGATGAGTTAATACTTCTGAGTATTTGCAAGCTGGGACTAACTTCTTGTTGTTGTTGTTGTTATGATTATGTTTATTTATACCCCGCTTTTTCTCTCCACAAACAGACTGCATTTCTGGTGTTTTTGGTGTTGCAATTGATTCATTGGGGTCGTGCATGAGGATCGTGCATGAGGATCGTGCATGCTTCCCCATTGCACGAGGAGGGGTCAAGAAGTATTTGCAATTGGAAAGACCCATTTTTGGTTGCATCTTGTCCATGCATGCAGGGTGGCAAAACTGTGGGAATCACAGGAGAGTAAACCAAAGCAATGTCAGCTTGCAGTGGAAGTGCAAAGCTTGCCATCCAGCTGGTGCAAACATGACAGGAATTGCCCTCGCTTCCTGAACTGACGTGGGGCTGACAAAACCAAGGCGCACTGAGGAGCCTTGTAAAAGACCATCCCGGCTCTCTGTTTGCAAGAAATCTCTTGATGCCCGGCCAGGTTTGGTCACAGCTGTTTTCCAGACCCCTTTGCATTCTTCCCCACCAAAGCCCCGGCCCCGGCTTTGTTCTAGGCTTCGGAGAGGCTTCTGCAAAGGAGACGAAGCAGGGAACCACCACGCAAAGCCTCACCTCTCTCAACCTTTCGAAGCTGCTACGGAACCCTGGGAGTTGTAGTTTGCTGAGGTACCAGCTACTCACAGAATCATAGAGTTGGAAAAGAACTCCATGGCCATGCCCATTCAACATGCTCTTCGGAAGAGCAGGATCTCAAGACCTTGTAAAACTACAACTCCCCACTGTGCCATTGCACCAAGCCGTAGCCGTGAAAGCGCTGCAAAGCTTCATTCATTCCATAGTAGGGATCCACCCTTAGGCCCCTTCTGCAAGGCCATATAAAATCCAGATTACC